AGCGCCGCCGGGAGGGGGTGCGGGGGGCTCTGGGGGGGGTCCAGGTCAAGCTGGGGCGGGAGGGTACCCGGCACCGGGGCCGGGCTGGGGACACCGGAGGTACTGGGCCGGGCTGGGGAGGGGGTGCTGAGGGACCAGGCCAAGCTCTTGAGGGTTGCCAGGCACCCTGCTTTGATGGTGCCTGGTGCCATCGGGCGCAGTCTCCAGGCAGGCAATGGGCCTTCCAGTGCGGAACTGGGGGGCCTGGCCCTGCAGCAGCCCCTTCCCCAAGGGGGGGCTGTGGTAGCAGCAGTGGGGCTCTGTCCTCTGCAGTCCCTCCCTGCCTGCCCTTTTCCTCTCCAACAGCAGCTACGATCAGTCCTCAGCTGCCACAGCGATGGGAAAAAATACTGCCTGGTCAGCTGTGGGCTAAAAACCCGGTTATCATTAATTAAATGTGTTGTAATAACCCCAAAGCCTTTGGCAAAAGATGCAAATCTGTGCTTGGGGTGTGTGAGGAGCCCCTGAGGGCAGGGGTGGTGTGGGTGCCTTGTGCATGTGGGCTCTGGGAGGTTCCAGGACCACCCCAGAAGAACTCTGGCGGGGTTCTAGGGACAACCCAAGTGCTTCCCTGACCTCTGCCACCCTGTTGTGTGTCTGCCCCCACTCTCTGCGCTTTGCCAGGCCGTGCGGCTGAGAACCATCCTGGAGCAGAGGGACAAGATGATCAAGGAGGGGAAGTACACGCCGCCCGACTACCACAAGGGCAAAGAGGAGCCCCGGCCTTGATTCGAGAGGGACGTGGCCACCGGTCACCTGTAGAGTCGTTTGAGGTGGAACTTCTCTGGAAATAAAACCCACAGCACAAGGGGGTTACGCTGCAGCCGTGGGGTGGGGTCTGCGTGGGGGCCCTGCCCCTGCTGAAGGGGAACGACACCACACGGGGCATTGCTCGGGCTAGTAAATGTCTCCTTCGGAACAGCGTTTGGCTCTGTCTTGTGCTTTTGGGGTTTTTTTTGAGGGTTGTGGTTTAACCCCAGCCGGCAACTGGGACCAGGCAGCTGCTCACTCCCTGCCCTACGGCAGAGTGAAAGTGAGAAAACTCCTGGGTTGAGATACAGACAGTTTAATAAGGAAAGCAAAAGCCTCCTTCCCCCAGCTTTACGTACTGACCGTGATGTCCCGCGGCGTAGGATGTCCCTCGGGGTCAGCTCTCTCTGCTGTGTCCCCTCCCGAGCCTGTGGGTGGTGTGAGGGGCAGAAAAGGCCCTGAGTGTGTAGCAACAACTGAAAACACTGGTGTTTTATCAACACTATTATCGACACCAGCTGCTGGTGGGGAGTTCAGCTCCACCCCAGCTGAAGCCATGGCCCTGAGGATGTCACAGGTTGAGGGTCTCTCTGTAGCGCTGCTGCCAGGGGGGCCTTTTGAGACACCCCTAAAACATGGCAGCGGCTGTGGGGACGTGCCCTTGGGGAGGTTAAATCCTCCTGTTGCTGTGGGTGTTCTCCTGTTGTGCTTGCAGCCTGTCCCTCCTGCGGGCTGGCCAGGCCCCGATCGCTGCTGGAAACAAGAGGAATAACCTAAAAGAGTTAAAAAAAACCCCAACTATCCAATCTTGTCCTGCAAAACTCCATCTTAAATGATAGCCAGCACACAGGCTGGTGTGTGCCGGGCTCTTCCCAGTCACTCCAGCTGGCAGCACTGATATATGAGGTGAAAATCTGGTTAAAACAGCTCTTTTTCTTTTTTTCCCCTCCAAATCCAGCACAGTTTCGTAACGGCGTTCCAGCAGGTGAGGACCTGGGAGCAGAGAGGGGAGGGCTGTGTGCTTTAATCCGTGGTTTTAATCCCCATGATTGCGGGTTTAATGCTTAATCTTTGATGCAGGTGGGGCCTGCGAGTTCCCTGATCCCCTCTAAAGCCCCCCACGCTGGGATGACAGAGGCGGCGTCACCTCCGGTGGGCAGGGACCCTCACCGAGTGGCTGTCGGGGATGCAGGACTGTGGTTCCTGCCCCACTGATGCCTGTGTCTGTGGGTCAGCAGCCCCTCCGTGGGGCAGGACTCTGCGCTTGTCCCCGGCTGAGGAGAGCCGTCCTCTCCCGAGGGTTCTCCAAACACCCTGTGAGTGATTAACCAGGTCGGGGAGCAGAGCTGGCCTGGGGAGCGGGCTGTGTTTAGACACCGCCTGCCTGAATTTGGGGGGGTGTGTGTGTTTAAAATTAAAATATCACCGGATGTGGAGTGTGACAGGAGCGAAAAGCCGAATTCTCATCACTGGGACCTCTCCCCTCTCCGCAGAGGGAGCCGCCGCTGCCACTTTGAGCTCTGGGGGTCCCGGACCCCTAGACGGGCACACAGATCTCTCCTGGGGGTGGGAGGGGGCTCATAGAGCCCTGGCAGAGCTGTGTCCTGGGGTACAAGGGGCCACAGGTGGGGTTTTGGGGTTCCCTGTGCCCTCCTGATGTGCCCGGGGCCCTGGGAGAAACACTTCCCTGGGTTTCACCCCAGTTCCCTGCAGGCTGGGGCACTGACGGGTCTCACAGGCACCATCCCAGCAGAATTGAGGCCTTTTGGGGATTTCTGCTGCTCCCCGTCAAGCTTTTCTCGCTCCGACCCTGCCTTTCCCGGCGCTGCCGGGAGGTTTCTCCCTCCCCCAGCCCCGATGGACGGAGCACCCGGATGGGTTCCCTTGGCTGGGGCTGATCCACGGCCAGCGTGGGGGGACGGAGCCCCCTTCCTCCCTGGCAGGGTCAGGCCCCGGGATGGGGGGACACAACATCGGGGACCCCCAAAATCAAGGTCTGGAGATGGGAAGCTGCTTGTCCTGCCTGTAACAGGGGCTGATAATCCTCAGGGATTTCGTTTGGTGCTTTTTCAAATATGAAAAACGCTGGCGATTAGTTTCAGCAGAAGAGAAAAAAACCTGATGGAATAATGCTAAAAAAAGCGGGTGAGGAGGGAGCTCCACGGGTGGCAGTGGAGGGAAAGGGCAGAGAGACGCAAGAGCAGCAGGAAGGGACGGGCAGAAAAGTGAACAGTTTTGGGGTAAAAACACCCCGGGAGGCTCTGGGCAGGAGGGCTGTGGGTGCTGAGGGCCACGGAGCCGTCGGATGAAATAAATGAGGAACAGAGAGGGCAAACCAGGGCTGAGGACAGAAATCGAGCTCTGCTGTGAGAGTCACAGAGTGATTATTGGCGGTGGGGGGGGTCCTCTGTGGGGGATTTGGGGAGAAGGAGAGGGCAAAGGGGGTGGGGGACACAGAGAACAACATCGTGGCTCCGGAAAACAGAGAGGGGGGAAAACCCTGCACCCTGAGGGGCAGGAGCCCTTTCCCTGTGGAACCAGAGCCCAGTTCCCCCGGTATCACCCCCAGGGGGTGTCAGCCAAGGATGGAGAAATTTGGGAAGCGGTTGCTTTTTCCAGGGAGAGAGGAGGGGAGAAAAAAAATAAAGGGCTCAGCAAAAATAAAAACCCGGCAACTGGCTGGTGTGAGTCATTCATCCAGCGGCCCAGATGTTGGAGGAAACACTGAAATCCATCTCCACGCTCCTGCCTCCCGAGCGGCTCCTCAGATCCAGCCAAAACCCAATTGTTCCGTGGTGGATGCGAACGCAGCCAAGGGCGAGCGGCGAAGAGCAGGGGCTGGAGGAGCGGATCCATTTGCCGTAGTTAAAAGCTCTATTAAACATTTCAGCCAATAAAGGAAATAACCAAAGACCTGATGAAAATAATCAAATTCACGGAGAGATTAAAAAAAACCACCCTGCCTCTGGCGGGAGGAGCCAGTGGCCGAGGCTCTGGCCGAGCAGCAGCGATGGAAAATGGGTCCCATCCTCCCGACGGAATTCCCTCAGGCAAGGGGGATTTGGAGCATCCTCAGCTCCTGAATGTAGTTCAGCATGGAGCCTGGAACCAGGTTCATTTCCAGCGGGGAGTGGATACGAATTTATGTTTCACTGGTGGCTTTTTTGGGATTTTGGGGTGAAGCCACATCTGGGCTGGGTGAGAGGCACCGAGGCTGGGCTGGGATGGGATATCATGTCTCCACCGGGCAGGAGCCCACATCACTCCCCAGCTGCTTTCCCAACAGCTTCCCTCTCCCCAGCTCCCCCATTCCCATTTTCCTATAACCCTCATCCACCCGGGAGCCGGGGTCCGGGGATGACACCCCACCTCCTGCAGCCCCGGATTTGCCTGGAGCCTCCAGCAGCGTCTGCAGCTTCTCTCTGCCTGCAAGAGGGGGATAAACAACTCTGGGGAGATGAATAATTTATCAAGAGTCAAGGGAAAAGGCAGGTTTCATCTGTGGGCCGGGGAGAAGGTTTTAATGAGGGGACAAATCCTGGGGCTGAACCGTGTGTTGGCTGATTTGCACCGGTGCAGCCCAGGAAATATCTCCCTGTGCCCCCCCAGATGCCAAGACCTCGGACCCCAAGATCTCGGTGCCCTCCTTGGGCATCCCTGGGTCCCGCCGGTCCTGCTCCAACGGGGAGATGAAATATGATTTAGGGAGGATCCCCCACCTCCCCTCCTTCCTCCTGAAATAACGACTCCCCGTCCCCACGTAGGCAAAATCAAGGCACGATCTTAACCCAGATTCGTAGCACAAATAATCCAGCGCCGCCGGGCGCTGCCAGGGATTTCTGGAAAGGCGTTTGGGGTGTGAAATCCACACAGGCTGGAACAGGCACCGTCTCCCGGCCGCCCGCCCTCCTCTGGGGCTCAACGCGGCTCCCGTCGGCTGGGTTTGCTCCCGGGGCACCGGGAGGGAGGAGGTCAGAGTCCGGCCGGTGGCACAGGGTGACAAAGGGACACGTCACCGCAGCCGGCCGCGGGGCTGAGCCGCCCAACCCGTCCGGGAGCTTTGGGAACGGCACGAGCCGCGTCTGGCTCTTCGGGCGCTTTCCTCCCTCCTCCCAACGCGTCTGAAGCCACCGGCTCCGGTGGGACGAGCCTCCCTGCTCCCCGGCTCTCATGGAATTTGGGATCCCTGGTGGTACCGGGAGCCACAGCCCCCTCTCGAGCACGTTTATCCATCGGTGTCTGGTACGGACACCATTTCCCAGTATATCCTTTATTCTGCCCCACACCAGTCTGGCCCGGCCACAGTGTTATTGGGGCTCCCGTGTCCTGGGGAGCTCGTGCCCTCGTTACCCGCTGGTGCCAGTGTCTGCGTGGCCTTGGCCACTGCGTCGTGGGCTTGATCCATCCCCAAAACCCAGGTGGGTTTTGGCCAAGTGCTTCCTCCCAAGGCTCTCTCCCCATCCCAGGCTGCGAGCGGGCAGGGCCGCAGGGCAACACGTGCTCCTTTCCAGCCACATCCCAAGTGTCCGAGAGCGGGGTGTCACCACACCCCACGCCGTGTCCTCCACACTGCGTCCTCCACCCCCTCGCTGGAGGTACTCGAGGAAAGAGCCGCCGGGGACCAGAAGGGACGTGTTGGGATGAGATCTGAAAACTGCTGGAGGAGAGATGCCCGTGGGACAACCGGCTGCGCTGAGACCCCGGGGGGACTGGGGCGACAGGCTTGGCCCGGTCGCCCGCGACGCCGTGGGAGCAGCGGCGCTGGCCCGGGGCCGTGGCACAGCACTGTGGCTCGCTGGGTCCCGCCATCGGTGTGGGGCGGCTGGATCTGCCATCAGCCGGAGCGGTTTATCCTGCTTCACTCCTGCCAAGCAGCTGGGGCTGTCCTGCAGCTCAGCCACCCCTTCGGGCTGCTCCTGGTGTTCCTGCCTGCGCCCCGGCTGCTGCTGGGACTCGCTCGGCTGGGACTGGGATGCCCGGCTGCCCCCCAGGTGAGGCCCAGGGCATCACCCAGCTTTCCCAGCACAGCCCTTTCCGTCCACATCCCTGCTCACCTCCCCCCCGTGCCTGGCTTGTGTCCCCCCGCGGCTTTGTGCTCCCGCCACGGCTGCTGGTCCCTGGGGGGGGGGGGGGAATCCAGAGGATGGAGCAGAGCGGGGTTGCTTGGGAGAAG